ATATAGATATATATATATATATATAGTACATACAGAGATGTAAAGAGGTAGTAAAGCAGTAAGTAACAGTATATAAAGGTAAACAGGATACAGCCTTTGAAGTCATATACATATATATATTTTATTCACCAATTTTTGTGTGTGGACATGGTTTCCTCTCAGCAAAGGTTTCATGTTTTAATTATAGTCTCAAAAGTAACTCAGTTTATATTCTTTCATGTAATCTGTTATACAAAGTGACACAGGGCTACACATGTACTTACAGAAGTGAAGTTACATCCAGGTAAGTTACTGAATATGAGGTAACTCTTGCTGCCAATGTGGAGTTATATTTATAAGGAGGCGCATGTTTGCTACAACGGCTGCATGTGAAGGCTGTAATCGCATAATACATAACTGTAATCAGCCTAAAATTTCTTTTAATTTAAAATTTCTCAGCTCGACAATACACGGATCGGCCAGTCACAAGTCCATCGACCTCTCTGGCAACCCTATCCTCCGAATCTACTACACATCCAAGGTGAGGAGTACACACACACACACACACACACACACACACACACACACACACACACACACAGATACTGTGCATCATGCATTAAATCTCTGTAACTCTAAAATGAAAGAGAATGACTGAGTGTTTGTGTCCTGCAGCCGGTGCTGTTTGTGATGTGTGCTGGGAACGAGCTCTTCTTCTGTCTGCTCTACCTTCTCCATCACATCCAGGAACCTGCAGGTAAGATGTTCCTTCTCCTTAACATCTAATGAGTAAGTACAGTACAGTTTTAATACTTGTACTTTAGTTTTCTACTTGTGTTTCACTACATTTATCTGACAGCTTTAGTTACTTTAACAGCTTAAGATTTTTGCAGACATAGCATATGAAGAGTTCATAAAATGTGATGTTTAGTTATAAATTATACTCCTAAACAGTTAATACATGCACAGCTTAAATGATCAGTCCATTAATCAATTAGGCAGTTGACAGAAAATTATTTGGCAACTATTTTGTCGGTTGAAGTCATTTTTCACCAAGCACATCAGAGGCTTTTCCACCCTGAAAACAACCTAATCCAGTTCCCTCTGCTGCAGCATGGCTCTACTGGCTGCAGGGTCTGTGCTTTATCATCTGCGTGGTGAAGACCGGCATCAGCCTCGTGCACCTAGTCACCGCCTCCCAGAACATGGCCGCCCTCGACGTAGCCGAGCGGGAGGCAAAGAGGAAGACGCAGTGAGAGAGAGGAGTGAGTGAGAGCCTCAGCAACAAATCCACCTTGGTTTTTATTTATTACTATTATAAGGGTTTAACAGTAGACTTTGTGCACTTAAATACGGCGTGAAACACATCACTTCAGTTTGTCTGACAACTTCAGAAAGACAGAAAGTTTATGACCAAATATTGCAAATTAGATGTGTCTCAAAACAAGAAAACAAGAGTTCAACAGTTTCTACAGTTGATTTTTCTCTGACTTATTTTACAAACATACGCTGTTGACAGGTTTGACACTTTGGTGATATGGCAATAAATGCAGTGAGAATTATGTGTCAAAATTGATCTCCCAATATCAAAAGTCATATATTGTAAAAGAAGTCTTTCATAAGCATCACCCCGTACTAGCTGGATGTAAGAATGGGCAGTCAGTATTTTCAGTTTGTCCCTCTTATGAATTTTTTCACATCTGAGTCACAGTTTCAGCTCATAAAATTAGTTTTATTTAGACAATCTGTCTTTTCTGGCTCAGGGTTTCCCAGAGTTTTTCAAAGTGACGGAAGAAATTATGCCATTTTTATCAAATATCAATAAGGAGGATTGATAAGGAGGATCCGTCTGATCCAGCTCAGCAGGCGATTGATTAAATGATCACATCGTAGTGTTGTTTTGCCGTGTTAAATTAGAGCAGCATGTCACAATGTCAGAAGAAATTAAAAATGTCTGAGACAAACCGTTCACTCAGTCACCTCCTGCGCTACAGATCAGACACCAGGCTGAAATCAGTCTCCGTGGAGTTGAAGTTAAAAGTTCATATTGATTTTGCAACAGCCAGCCAATCTAGTGCGAGGAAACCCTGGAGCTATCATGTTTGCTTTGGATGAAAAATCCTCGTCCCAACTTTAGAAACATGTTAAAAAATATTGTTTATCGAGCAGCAGAAGATGATTTGAAGAGTGTTTACAAATCCTGGAGAAACCTTCAGAGCTGCACGAAATGCTGTTAAAGAGGACCTATTCTGCTCATTTTCAGATTCATCCTTGTATTTTGAGTTTCTACTAGAACATGTTTACATGCTTTAATGGTCAATGGTTATTTTCCTCATACTGTCTGTGCTGGAACACCATCTGAAATGTTCCATTTTAGTGCCTGTCTCCTGAGCCCTCCTCCCAAAAGAGCCTAATCTGCTCTGATTGGTCAGTGTTTCCAGGTCTTCATTATCTGTACCATCATTGAGCCGGGGGTGACTGTAACGGAGTACAGCGGCACTTTCTAACATGAACAATCACCAATAAAAGCTTCTAAACCAAATCTTTGCATCCAGACATCTTCCAGTAGGAGTATGATCCGAAATCGGTGAGAAATAAACAACATCAGCAAGCAGGATTCCATGTTTCCCTGACATTAGCATGTAGCTCATGTAGCAGTGTGTTGGAAACACTTGCTGTAGCGTGCCTGGTAATCATGCACGGGTCAGGGTTTAAAAGCCCTGCATCAGCCCAACCCATTATGAGAGCCAGTTTGCCCCACCTGCCTCGCAAATCACCTGAACCCAACCCAAAAACCAGAGCTGAAAGTTCTGGAAATAATATCCAACTTGCTTTTAGTTGTATTGTGTGTCAATATCAGTAAATATCACAGTGTAAAATGTGTGTAAAACATTTTTTGTTTATAAAGTACAAAAGTAGGTAGACAGCAAGTGCTCACTCATCATTTAAGTGGTTAGGTCTCCAACTTGATCTCGAGAGCACAGCTGATATCATACATGGTTTGTTTACATGAGCTCCCAGCTGATCGGTACAGTTGTTTGATTGTTTACAGATGTAACATAAGAGAGCCTTGTTTGCTGTTAGGACACAGTGTTAGTCCTGCATATTCTTAGAGGGAAATATTTATACTGGACTGGAGAGATTTAATATGGTCAAATAGCGTATAACAGAAACTCAAGCGCAGCAGGGCTGATGATGAAGCCGCTTGCTTGCTGTGTGTGATTGGGAGAGACAGAGAGAGGGGAAGAGAAGGTGAAAGGTGGACTGCTGCAGTGTTTCTGTAAGTTATTAATAACTTACTCAGACTGCTGCTTTGTCACTTTAAGATCCACTCAAGAGAAACCAACGATATTTTCTAACCCAAACTATCCAACGCGCAGGTCAGCCCACAGAACCCAAGGGTTGTGGGTCGACCCGTGCATCACTAGTGCATAGAGCAGATGACCATATAAAGAAATGCATCATGAGCTGGCGTCAGCTTGTCCCCAAAAAAAAGTAGAAGAAAAACTTAAGAAACAGAGTATTCTTAATGGTCTGAGACCATTCTTACAAAGATTACTTTTACATTAATTTACCTCAACATTTGAAGCTTTGGCCACGTTCAGTGTGAACATCGGACACTGTGACATTATAGATATGACAGAAAATAAGAGAAGGTATAATGGGTCCCCTTTAAACAACCTTGTGGGTTTTATGTTTTAGAGGGACTCATCTTTAACTCTGTGACAAGGATGTAATGATGATACATAAGAAGCACAAACTAGAAATGTTACAACTGTTACACGCCTTCATGATCCTAACTCCTTTTTTCTTTCAATGATGTCTTAACATGCCTCAGCAGGTGGCTCTTTGTAGCATTTTCATTACCTTGAATTCTGATAATCATGAAAGTTGTTAAGCAGGCAAAGACGTGGAGTTTAATATTCACACTGGTTGTTTGAGAAATGAATCTGTAGAGGCCAGAGACAGCAACCACAGTGAAGTTCTGGTGCTCCTATACCACATTTAGATCATGAGTCATTTTATGTGAAGCTGCTCATGTTTTACAGCCACTCTTTTGTCCAGTTTGGTTTTACTCATCTGCAACATCTGGAAGTTTGAATATGAAAAAGACAATCAGGCTAAAGCGACTATAAAATATGTTTATTAAGAAATGTATCATTTTGAAAAATGATAGTCAAATGAAATATATAACATGTGAAATCAAAAGAAGCTAAAACATATTACTGATATATA